GTATTGTTCAGTCCTAACTAACTATCTCTGATTCTACTGAGAGGGGATAAGTGAGATCTTGTCTCAGAGAGAGACTATCCATTTATCTGATTTCTTTTCTTGAGATTCTTTTCCACAGGTTGGATTGATGATGTGTTCATGTGTGCTGGGAGAAGGAAGGGAACTCAGACAAGATAATCCAGAAAAGGATAGGAATGAGATAGTGAAAGGGATATGGAGAATTACTGTGACAGTAAAAAGGGGGGGGGGTTAACTATTATTCACTACCTGAAGCGGAAAGGCAACAGCCAAAACGATTAGTTGAGGATAGGAGTCAGACAGAAAACACAGAGTCTAGAATGAAACTTTCTAGATCTCAGTTAGGAAGAGAGATGTTAAGTTTCTCTTGGACTGTGTTGTGTCTACAAGTTTCGACACTTCGGAGAACTTACGGGGGAATCCGTAAGAACAACAATTCTGTTATCATTTGATAACAGATCGGTAGAACTCCAACTCAACTTCCACCTCTGGCTTGATACCCACACCTAAGACAAGACCTGAGAAGGGAACAGATAAATCTTCCCCCTGTATCTATGTCTAAATTGTCCAAATCACACTCAGGAGTCTTCGAAAATGTGTGCGGCTGGGGTAAAAGGAGTCGGGGTGAGGAAGGAATGTTATTTTCATTGGTTTGGGGCGTGAGTGGCTTGCTATGAATGGATTAAAGGTTGACGTTTGTAGAGCATTTTATATCTGCATCTGTATGTGTATATGTGATGTCTTGCATCTGCACAGGTGTTGGACGTTTGTGTTGTCTTCTGAGTTTTCGATCGTCTGATAAATTTGGGCAAAGGGACACGACAATTGTGAAAGTGAGGTCCACCACTCAGTCAGCTCCCCTGATTTACATACAGACAATATATATATATATATATATACTTGTGAATGGGATTGTAGTTGGTCAGGATCGGAAAGTCATTTGTCTAGGTTTCTGTTTGAGAGAATAGGAGACTACAAAAGGAATCGACCCTGGCATTCTCACATGATGAGCAAAGTAAACGTTGAGTCATTGTCATAGTTAGCTAAGCGTGGAAGACTGTCCGAGAAGTCGACCTGATTAGATAGTCGGTCCGGAGAAATAGCACCTCGGGGCTCGACATACGGGTCAGTTTTAAGGCGTTCTACCGCGCGTATGCCTATGCTAAGGCGATCGAGAAAACGCCCTCGGCTGGCCTACCTCTGCGATTGCATATAAAAACCTTCGTTTGTGGGTCAGTAGCTCAGCAGGGATACGCCCACCTAAGGGATGGTGACAGCTCCCGCAGATGGAGGTATGTTGCACCTCGCGGGCCCCTAACCTATCGTAGGGAGTCACGAGAGGTATAGCACGGGCGCACGGTCGGAGTTGGTATTGTGTAAAGTGACAAAAGAAACTCCTGCGTGACACGACCGTGAGGTCCGACACAAAACTTACTTTGCGTCTGGGTGTAGGATCGATGCGCGCGACAAGTGGCGCCGTTGCCGGGGATCTCGTTTTAGCCGAGGTCCTTAGTGAGCGAACTCGGGTAAAGCAAGATCCAGGCAGAACGACAATTATTAAAAGTCGGTAATTAACTAAGACTCCAAGTAGAATACGGTAACTTGAATAGTTGGTGACGAATAGTTGTTCCAAATAAATCAGCGTGTAAGATAGGGACTAAAAGTTCTATTGTCCTACTTATACTAAGAGTTAACAAATATGGCACCTAAGGGCCGTGGGACCGGAACGGGTAGAGGAAGAGGCGGCAGACAGGGGAAGGCGCCTGAAAGACCTGTAGACTTGACCAGGGAAAGGGAGGAGTGGAAAGAAGATGATGAAGGACTATAAGAGAAGGACGAAGGGTTAAGGGCGAGACGGTATCGGGAGGAGAGGCGCATGCATACCCGAGACCCTGACGAAATGTCATATTATTCATATAGGTACGCGAGGCGTTACGGAGAATCTCCACCACGCTTCGAGCTGCCTAGTCGCCCGCATCATAGCCCTTACCCTCTGTCTCAAGAGAGGCAGTTGACTGTCCTTCCCCCGCCTCACCAACAAGGACCCCGCGAAGTACCACGTGTACCTGATCCTCCTGTGGTTTTGCAGTCTGCGTCTCCTGATAGGAGGATGTGCCTGTTACTCCTAATGTTTATATTGTGTCAATTGGAGATCTGTGGATTGATATCTTACTTGTTGTATAAAAAGATTATATAAGGACCCAAAAAGGTTGGAGAAGATGGTGGAATAGAAAAGGAAGACTAATCAGATCCTTGGGTTGGGAGTCTGCTAGCTAAATAAAGAGGGGTGTGGGCTGGTCTGTGTTATGTGGTAGGTGGAGTGTATCGACGAAAGGAAGATGGTTTCTGCCCTATACCAAATCACAGTCAGAGAGACTGTGCAAATGAGGCGTGGCCTTACGATGAATCTACCCAGTCGCCACGAAGAGAATGAAGAGACAGGGTATTGTTGGAGGATTTCTGTGGAGGAATAAGCTTTCATCTGGATTGAGTCTGGATGGGTTAGAGGCGAGAACTGTGCGGTAGAGAGGGTTACCCTGTATATCGCATCAAAGAATTTGCAAGCTATCATAGTAAATTTAGTATTAAGTGTTGATCGATCTCTCTCTAGAAGAAGAGATGCTAGTATGAATGGATTTGAGAGGGTCATAGGAACTGTGAGGGTAAGGAAGGCGAGCAAATTTCGTCCGCCAGCAACGTATCTAAGAGGGATCCTCCCCATGTTCATCGTAGATGCAACCTTTGGAGGGAGGACCCGAGTGGAAAGGGCTGCGGGAGCCGAAGTGGTAATACCTGAGAGAGAATATCACACATCTACCCCTCTGCTGATATACTACGTACACCTAGAGATAGGGCATTTGATTGAAGAAAGGGATCGACAAATTATACTATCACGGGTCGAATTGTATGCACATCAATACGATTGGGCAGATAGTACTGGGAAGAACTGAAGCAGGGGATCCTCGATCAGATAGGAAGAGGTGCTTAGGAAAGACTGAGATAGAGAGTTATTGAAAAATGAAAATTGAGCGGTTACTAAGAAAGGAAAGGTTCTTTCTTTGGTTGTTGTAACAGAAATACCAGGATGGCTCCTTTAATGTGGTTCTTTGATCGGAGCTTTCTGATCAGCCTGCCCGAGCCAAAGGAAGGAGGAGTTAAGATGACACTGCTGAAGAGAACGATAGATCTGGATGAAGAATTTGACTCATGGTGTGGGATACCGATAGGACAGGAAGCCTTCCTTTGGATAGAAACTGGGTGGACCACAAGGGAAAGACAGGCAATAGTAAAGGTGACACTTTATCTACCGGCCCTTCTCTGGAGGGCGCACGCGATCGATCTTGCGATAGGAGAAAGTCGCCCCGTCTCTAAGTACGTTTTAACGACCGGAATGACCCTTGACGCATTTTCAAGGAAGACATACTGGGAAGAAGAAGGGGAGGTTATAAAATCGATCGATGCTAAGTGGGCAGCCGAATTCACATATCCAACGAAGTACATTAAGACCACGCTTTCGGATTTTATAATCAACGAAGTATTTTGGGGAATAGAAAACGTGGAGCGAGCGGTACTCGCAGCACGATTGGTTCCAGAGATGGGCTTCGAGTTTGAGGCGTCGGAAGTTGTTTACCGTCTATACTTAGAAATGGGACCGAGATTAAAAGAAAGGGACTTCTATAATGTACTATGCGTAGTAAACACGTACCTACGCATCTACCATTTTGAAGATATCCCGACCTACTGGCGCAATCTTTGCCGGGAGGCATGTATTGAAGAATTTATAGATGAAATCCCTTCTTTATTTGGTATGGTCAGAAGTTTTTCGCACGGGGACTGGGTGCTCCTAGAACAAATACTCGGTTGAGAGGAAAGGGGTATGAAAAGTCATATAGGGTGAGAACAAGTGACAAGAGTAAAGGATATGTCGAGATAGTGACGAAAGGGTTAGATCAATGATCGTTTTGTGTGTCTTACCAGGGTCTACGGTCTAGCGAGAACCAAGAAAGAAAAAGAGAAAAGATGGGATGCCAACGCCAATGGAGGGCCGCCGATCACCGCGGCGGAAATTGTCAAGTTACTAGAGAAGAGAACGATAAAGAGGTCTAACCTACCGAGAATAAACATATTCCCTTTCAAAGGGGATAGGGTGACTCATTGGTTAGAATTACTTCAGCAAATCTTCAACCAATTGACACCGGCCGAGAAATTTGCCCAGTTCTTCGAATACGTATGGTGGGAGTGCACCTCTGACGTAGAAGAGGTAGTGAGAAAGTCCAACAATGACTGGGCTGAGTTTAAAAGGGGCATGCAAAAGACGTTTAAACTAGGAGATGGTTTGCTCACGATTGACCATCTCTATAACATGAACAGAGATGACTTCACCATGATCAGGGCGTTCGCCAACACATTCGAAAAGACAGCCGAGAGGGTCCCGAGACTGTCTGAAGAGATGCAGTGCGTCATATTCCTAGGAAAATTCTCTGGGTATGAGGCGATGGAACTAACTCGAGGGAGAGCCGCCGGGAGAAAGACAACCTGGGAAACCATTAAAAGGAACATCGCGGCGGGAGACATGGACAAAGTGTTCCATCACCAAATCAAGGTCGAACGAAAGAAAAGAAAGGCAGTAGGGACGATCCAAGGAACGGATAGTGTACTTGGAGGAGTGTTGAGCAATATGTCAAATGAGATAAAAGAGTTTAGGGAAAGAGTGACACCATCGAAAGTGTTAACAGTGACACAGCCATCAGGAAAGTGAAGGAAGGAAGAGGAAAATGGAGAGGAAGAGGCCGAAGATGGAGAACCAGAAAGAACGGTCAAACTGACCAAGTGTCTGAGGAAGGCTAAAAATATCGCTATCGGAGGACAAGGGTCGGGAAAAGGACAAGTAACTCAACAAGCGATAGTCTAATATGGACATGAGCCGTCAACGAGCACAGCACAATATGGTCAATGGCCCGTGGGTCCGCCTATGGGAGCATGGCCTGGGTACTTCCCGGTAGGGTCATGGCCTACGTAGGGTCCGTATCCCATGTTACCCCAAAATCATAATTTGGGAGGAGACCAAAACACGGGACAACTTCAACTAACAAGGCAGAACCAACCAGGATCGAGTCGCCAGGGTGGCCAAACCCAGAACAGGTCCCAAGGACAAGGGCAAGGACAAGGACAAGGACGTGGAAGAGGTAGGAATGCTGATAGAAATCAGGGACCAGGGGAACGAGGAGCAGGAAATAGAGGAAGTGGGTATCAAGGTGGAAACTGGGGACAACTCCAAGGGGGTGCGAATCTGGTAGGGCAAGAATACCAGCAGGGGTATGGTCGTGGTTACGACCAAGGCTATGGAGGATGGATAGACTACAGCGAATGCATTTGTACCCACTGTGGGATCAAAGGACACACAGTAAAGCGATGCCACGTCAGGAAGCTCGACGAGCGCGATGGACACGTAACATCGAACATAGATGGCGAGGTGTTTGACAGAACAGGAAGGCCGATCGATCCTGAGATTCCGGAAGGCAGTAGAGAAGAGGCCCTTCGCATAGCCGCGCTAGGTCCCAACGCCCCGGGAATGTTCAAAATGTGGCAAGAAAAGGAAGGACCAGTCGTACGGGTGGAAGATGTAACTGAACTAGAAGAAAAACTGAGTCGGATGGGGATCGAAGGAAGCAAGGAAGACGTACCCCTTGTGGAAGAAGAAGCAGAAGAGGATGACGCTAGGATTAACGTCAGGGACACGTTAGATAGGATGAAGGATCTAGTGAATAAGATGCAAAAGCTGCATTTGAGGCTTCAAGGGGTATATGAAGAAGCGGGAAAAGAAGGGGTTGGGTGCCCGAAAGTATTTACCATGGGACGTGGAGGATCGGAAGATGGGCCAAATGAGCCCAACCCAAGAATGTTGAGGGCCAACATGGCCGCAAAGAACAGTGGGGTTCAAAGAAGCGTAAGAGGAACGATTCTGTTTGCTATAAGAAAACCCGCAGGAGGGAATCCTCCAAAGGAGCAAGCCCAGACTTCCCAGCCTGCAGAGGAAGAACCACCTATCATGGTAGAAGGTGATGAAGACGAGGATGAAAAGATTAGGGAGGAAGAAGAGAGGCAGGCGGAAATCAGGGCTAAGAGAAGGAAAGGTGAAGTTAAAGAAGGAAGATCCAAAAAGGACGAAGCGCCGAGCAAAAAGAAAAAGTACCAGATGTCGATCGAAGAAGGGGTAAACCTGGAAGGTCTAGTAAATAAGCTACTAGAAGGTCACAATGAATTGCTAAATCTGAAGGAAATTCTAGCTTCGGCTCCTAAGTTAAGAGAAATGGTGAAGGCGAGGTTATCACGCCGGAGAGTGGTCTCGGTCAGGATGGGGGACCTGATTCCCAAAGAGGCAAACTGGAGCATGGCAGGAAGCAAAATGGACTGGAAGTTCGTGGGAACAGCGTCAATAGATGTTATGATAAAGAGGAAGACGTGTCCTGGGATGGTCGACACCGGGGCAGAAATGAACATTATAAACGGAGAAACGACAGTAAAACTAGGACTGGAGGTAGATGAAAACGACTGCGGGTTTCTCAATGGAGCCAGCGGCAAGACCGGGTACACGGGGTTTGCGTCGAATATGGTGATAGAGATTGGAAGAGTCAAGGTACATACGTGTTTCTACGTCCTGCCCAGCTTGGATCTCCCAATATTATTGGGCAGATCATTCCTGTGCAGATCCGAGTCGCTCATTATGAACAAGCACGACGGCACCATGTTCGTCATCTTGTGTGATCCTGCCTGTGAGAACTTTGAGGTTATCACCTGTAGGAATACCGGCCCACACAGCTCGAAGAACAGGCTCAATGTCAGATCCTATACATTCGAGGAATCAGAGAATAGGAGGAGAGAACTGGAATGGGAAGAAGGAGAAGAGGAGTCAGATAACGAAGAAGCCAAAGGATTTGTATTAAGTCTAACGAATATTAGTGACGCAGTGGAACAGGTATCAGCCTTTGGGATGGCTGATCCGGACGAGGTCAGGGCACTCGCAGAAAGGATCCAAGACGATCCAGAGGGGGAAGGGTCGATCTCGTTTACCGACCGCCTCCTCCTCAGATGATAGTGCCGCATGCGCCGAATGCTCAAGCTGTCGGTCAGCATTTTTTAGGGGTGGGCTCAAGCAGGGCACCAAAAGGAGGTACAAGACGGTAGACAAGAAAAGTCACCCTGTGTCAGTTCTAGTGAGTCAAGAAGAAGGGGTGTACTATGATCAGGAAAAAGAAATGATACAGCGAATGAGGGAAGGCATCCAGAATGGGTCCTGTCGTATCGACGATGAGACTGAGAAAAAATTGATAATAGGGGAACCTGGGTTTCTGACAAGGCAAGAGGAGAAATTGGTGAAGGAGCTGATACGAGAAAAGCATGGGGCATATGCCTTTAATGATGATCAACGTGGGAGGTTGGATGTGGACAAGATAGAGATGATCCGCATTCATACTGTACCTCACGAGTCATGGAATGTCCGAGGAGCTAAGTACCCCAACCCCGAGGATCGCAGAAGGGTGGTAGTGTACCTAGATGGAAAAATCCGTACGGATGTTGCAGGATATTCCAATGGACCGTACGCGTCTACATGGTTCTGCTTTGTAAAGCCAAATGAAGTTCTCAGATGGGTGCAAGACCTCCAACGACTGAACGTGGTAACTGTAAGGGATGCACGAGGTTTGCCCAACGCTGGCCAGTTGTCAGAAGCTTGTGCAAGAAGGTCGATTGTGTCCTTCATATAATCAGTTTCCAGTCTATCCGGCAGACCGTCCCATCACGGTGATGCACACGCCAAGGGGATTGGCCGATATGAATGTTGCGCCGCAAGGATGGACCAATGATGTGGCTATGGTGCAACGAAGCATGATCAGGGTAATGCAGCCCATTAGCCCTCAGATCACCGAACCATACATAGATGATCTTGCAGTTAAGGGTCCGATTAAGAAGGATGAGTCAGAGGTGGCTCCAGGGGTAAGAAGGTTTGTATGGGAGCATGTTCAGGGATTGAGAGAAGTCCTATCGCTACTAGAAGAATACAACCTCACCGTCAGTGGAGTAAAGTCGAGACATTATGTAAAGGAGGTGACCATTCTAGGATACATTTGCAAAAAGCATGGTCGGCGCCCTGATAAGAAGAAGACCAATAAAATCCTATAATAGCCCACTCCTTTCAGAAATGTGGGTGAAGTTCGAAGTTTCCTTGGTACCTGTGGGTTCTGGAGGAGATTCATAGAAAGATTTGCTAGCAAAACAGAGCATCTAAGGAAGCTAGTCCGTAAGGATCAGGCATGGGAATGGGGAAACCATCAAAAAGAAGTGGTGGAAGAATTGAAGAAGGAATTCAGAGAAGGAGGACTGGTACTAGGGGTACCAGGCTTTGATCCGACTATGGAAAGACCCTTCATAGTTGAAACCGATGCTGGGCCAACCGCCGTGGGAGACGTCTTGATTCAGGCAGACAGTGAGGGAAAGGAAAGGCCGCTAAGGTTTGAAGGTCGGACGCTCAACTCGACAGAAAGAAACTACTCGCAGCTTAAAAGGGAAGCCTTGGTGGTCCTACATTGCCTAAGAATCTTTAGGCATTACCTCTTTGGGAGGAGGTTTGTACTAAGGATCGATCCTACGACGCTTGTGTACTCACTCAATAATTTTTCGCCCTCAGATCCGACCATAGCCTAATGGCTTACTTATATCTGGATGTTCGATTTTCAGTTAGAACGGATCCTTGGGAACAAGAACAGGGCGGACGACATGAGCAGAATTGAGTGGGGAAACCAGAGAGAATCTAATGAAAAAACGCGTCCGGTAGATGGATTTTTTTAGGAAGGGGAAGACATGTAAACTCATCTGAACTGTTGGTTCATGTTTGTCGAAAATAAGGAGATGAAGAGAGGAAATCCAATGTGGCATCCACCGGCCGAATTTATGAGAGAGTCTTCCCTGATACTCACACCATTAGAGGAAGAGGACTCTTGGGGTGAGAAAAATACGGAGTGGAGGATGGAGTTGGCTCTGGCATAAAACTATAGGATAATGGATGAGCCGCGAATGATCGAAGCAGGAGTCCAACAGGCAGATGAGCAGGTAGCCATGATGGGAAGAATGTACTACCTGACCAATTCGCTATTACAGGTTCAAGCAAATGATGAGAGAGGAATGGTAAAGGCTGATGAGATAATTATTGGGGATGATTATGAATTTGATGAAGAGTAGATCTCAGAGGAATTCAGGGAGGAGGAGTACGATGGATTCTATTTAGAAATGGGGTTGCTCCTCTCAGGAGATAAAAGAGAGAGAGAAGTGAGTGAAAAGACTCTCAGGATGAGAGACCACTATGTGGTAAAAGGTGACAATTTGTTCATCAGGGACAAGAGGGGGCCGCTGCGACGTGTAGTATGTGGGAGGAATCGTCAGATTGACGTAATAGCCGCACTGCATAATGGAATAGTCGGAGGGCAACGGAGTTTCGCGGCTACTTACAAAAAGGCGATGGAGCTCTACTACTGGGAAGGAATATTTGAGATGACCCGAAAATACTGTGAATCGTGTGTGCCCTGTCAAATTCGATCGCCTATCAGGTACAAGGAACCTCTGCATCCTGGATATATCAAGGAAGTAGGGGCGGTTGTTCACCTGGATCTACTGGCTATGCCGCTAGGTCTGGGAGGATATAATTATATATTTGACGCGAGGGACAACCTTACTGGATTCGTTGATGGCAGAGCGATCAGGAACAAGACCGGGACAACGCAGGCAGATTGTATTAAAGAATATTATCTTAGATACCCTTTCGTATTGGAGTTTACAATGGACAGAGGGTCTGAGTTCACATGTGGGGAAGTGAAGGAGTTGCTGAAGGAATTGGGGGTCATAGGTAACTATACGACTACGGCTCATCCACAGGCTAATGCACCGGTCGAAAGAGGCCATAGTACAATTACTAACTTACTGGTCAAATGGACCAGTGGAAAGCCAAACCTCTAACCAAAGTTCCTAAAAACAGTGTTCTTTGTGGAGAACATCACTGTAAAAAGGACGACCGGGTATGCGCCTGCGACACTCTGGTATGGGCGTCACGCCACATTTCCAATTGAAAGTTTCCTGAAAACTTGGCGCAGACAGGACCTGAAAAACAATTTGACCTTGAAGGAACTGCTGGATCTAAGGGCAAAACAGATCGGCGTCACTGAAGAAAGGGTGCAGGAAGCGGTCATGAACGTTGCAGACAGCAGGGGAAAGGATAAGGAAAAGTGGGACAAACTACCTAGAGTAAGACTCGAACCTCTACAAGTTGGCGAGACAGTACTACTCTACGATTCCTCTCTAGAAATGCAGTGGTCATGAAAATTGGACAAACGGTGGCTAGGACCATTCAAAGTCATGAAACAGGGACTTCATGGGGCATATGAGCTAGAAGAGATGGATGAGACTCCAAGGAAGGACTGGGTCTCAGGATCTAGACTGAAGAAGTTCCGATTCAGAGAAGAGATAAGCTCAGCTACAATACGGAAAGCTCGGATAGATTGGGAAGTTGTTTAGGCATGCATATGCGTATCAGTTTCTAAGCAGGTATGTACCCAATTGCCCAAGATTATGCTCACACATATATGGATACATACATGCAGACATATATATATATGTGTATGTGTACATACATGGATGCAAAGGGGTATAAGTAGGGATATGTGTGTGTATATACGCTCATGTATGTATATATGTGTATATATATATATATATGAAATATATATATATATATGAGATATATATATATGTATATATATATATATATATATATATATATATATGTGTATATATATATATGTGTGTGTGTATGGACTGTCTGTTAGAGGAGGGCATTGTCAACTTGTGTTTGACAAGGAATGTTGCCTTGGTGATGATCTGACCCTCGTACCTGTCATCTGCTCCTTCTCTGTGTGCAAGCGTGACCCTTGGAAAGAAGAGGTCATGACGCAGAGAGGAGCAGTGGCAGGGCCCTCTGGACCTACATTGAGAAAGGGCGAGCTGATGAGGGATTAGAGAGTCTCAAGAAACCTAGAAGAGCTGTCCATTTACAGGGCTGGAGACAGCCTGCGAATTTTTCTGCGAGACCTTGAAGAGTACGCATTCAGGAGAGAATGGGGTGACAGGGAGAAAATTGCGAATGTGACTGGAGCAGGAATGTACAAGAGAAGGATTGAAGGAGTGGTGGCAGGATGCACGAGATGAAGGGTATGCAAGGTGAGACTATGGAAGGACATGGGGGACTTCCCAAGGGACGATGTGGAAGATGACTTGAGGTTTGATGGGACCAATCTAGAGGACTTTATCGAAAGCTTGCAGCTGGCCGCCGAGAGAGGAGAATGGAACGAGGAGGAAAAAATGAAACAGTTGATCGCAAGATCAGAAAGGAGTGAAAATGAGGAAGTAAAGGGAATTGTGGAAGGGAGTCGGACCTGGAAGAGAATAACAACAGAATTGTGGATGGCCTACACCCAGGCCAGGCAGAATCAGACAAGAAAGGAAAGGTTGCAAGAGAGGGGGTTATGGATTGGAAAAGAGATGGCTGAGCCACAGGGGAAAGAGGCAGAGGATGAAGAAGAGGATAATGTGCCTCTGAAAAGATTGAACAACAAGACGAGGGTCTCCCCCAAGAGCAGCAGCAAGGGATCAGATCAGGCAGAGGAAGATGAACAGAAAGAGGAGGAGGTAGCAGAAGGGAGGAAAATAAGCATGGGAGCAAGAGTGGTACTAAGGAAGAAAAAACTTGGAAAGAAAAGGTCAATTGAGAGTGGAAGGGAAGAGGCACAGAAAAGGAGGAGTGAAAAGGAGAGAGGAGTAAAGACGCTGGAGAGGGAAAGAAGATCCAGGAAGGAGGCAAGGCTCCCAAGGTCAAGAGAACTGAGGAAGAGGGGTCGATTGGAGACAGAGAAAGGGAAGAGATGAGCGAGATAAGAAAAAAGAAAGATGAGAGGGATGCCTAGGTGGAGAAGTTGATGAGAGATATGGAAGAAATGAGGAAGGAAGTGAAGGAATTGAAGAAAGAGAAGGAGGAATTGCAAAAAGAAGTGAGTCAATTGAGGGTCGCGCTGAATGTGCAAAGCAAAGAATTAGAGAACGAAGTGACCACAAGAAGAAAGATAAAAATAAAGGTGGATGATCTGGGCTCTGAGGTCAGTGTGTTAGGACTGGACCTGGACAATGAAATCTCAGAAAGAAAGAAGTTGGGACAGGAATGGGAGAAAAGATGGGGAGAGATATTGAAAGGAATGGAGGGACTCAGATTGAGCCATCAGGGGAAAGAAAAGGAAGCCTCAGAGATGGTAGAAAGAAAAAGGGGTGAAGAGAAGGGAGTACAGACTGAGGAGAAAAGAAGAGAATTTCCTGCACCAGAAAAGAAGGGAAGTGAGAGTGTGGCTATGCCTCTGCCAAGACAGGGCAAAAGACAAAGAGAATCTGAGTTGAGCTCACCAAAAGGGACTGAGGATCAGGCTGAGACTTCGACCCAGCCAGACATAAAGAGAATCAAGCCTAGCAAAGCTGGACAGAGGTATTTCTTCTGCACTCAGCAAGGGCATCTCAGGGATGAGTGTTCCATTCTGGCAGTTTACATCAAGGAAGGAAAGGCCAGATATGATAGTCATAAGAGATTGGTGGCCTGCACAGGGCAGATCATTCTCAGGATACCTGAGGGAGGCAAGGTAGCGCTCCACAGGATACTGGAACTGCCAATTGATTTCTAGATAGGAATAGGTAAGTGTTTCTGAGTGAATCATGACTTATATTGGCTTGTGAAACAATTATGAGAAGGAGAAAGGGGTAATTTAGAGCAAGGGGGTATGTGTTTTCTTCTTCAGTTAGACAGAGGAAAGGTGTAAAACATGTTGTGTTGCTTTCTTCAGTCAGATAAGGAAACTTAGCATAGAAAGTAGTATAGGAAAAAAACATGTGAGGTAGTTGAAGGGTAGTAGAGGTGAGTAACAATCTGACTCTATAACATATTTGTATTTATATTTCTTTCAGGGGGGGGATGAGCTGGTGAACAGGACGCACTTGTTACATTGTGTGTGAGCCTTTGTCTTTGGTTGAGTCTCCGGTAACCTAAGATCTCTCTTCGTCTATCACTACTAGACTCTGTTGAGATCTAAAGAGGTGATAGAGGAAAGGACGGATTTGTACTTTATGTGAAAGTTTGATGAGTGCTTGTGAAACTTCAAAGGCTGGATTGATTATGCAATTCATGTTTGAGAGCATGCTACGACATGGATAGACTCCTTTGAGTCTTATCAATTCTTTTGCAGAAATTATTTGGCAATCTTTATGAAAGTGATGTTTTCTTCGTGGATTCTGACAAGCAAAGAGTCAATAAAAGTTTATCTTAAAAATAATGGTTATATATACAAAAATAATGGTTTTATGTATATATATATATATATATTCAAAATGATCCCGAGGTGCATGCCTCACCGAGCTATGATCAAAGACTTGGAGGGCACAACCCTGAGTGGCCCTTGACGAATGCTCAATTTATTAAAAGTTCTCATTTATTTAGTTTATTTAAAGCATCGTCCATCCACCTCAAGGGTTAACCTGAGGGCATATCACTACCAAGCCTATGGTGGAAAATTGGCATCGTTGGGACGTAACTCCCAGTGTGGGCTGCTGACCTAGCATAACCAGGCAGCGGACCCTTCGACTATGGCCTAGAATAGGGGCTAGAGGGGATGGCCACCCCAGTGAAGGAACCTATTCAGGTGGGTGTCGAAGGGGTCGATATTATTTTGAAATTCATAGGATGACTAACCCATCGTTGCGCAACCAACGAGGGTAACCACCGATAAGCAACAACACGGTGGGCCGCAGCTCCGGCCTAATCAGCAGGACTGTGGTGGGTCGAGATGGAGACCGTTGTCCTCCTGTATTAGGCTTCGGGCAGGACAACAGGCAACTTTGGACAAGTAATATCGAGAGTTAAACAACCAAGGTCTCGGTTAGGACCCGCGTTTGACGGGTTGAGTTCGCACGCGGACACCGACCCTGAAAACAACCAACGAATACCTGGGCCAAAGACTAAGGGTGTGGGGGAAGGAAAGGTGCGTTGTCATACTTAACTATTTCATGTACTGTAGTACAGATCAAGTATCCCCACTTCCAGTCATTATATTTCATGTGGGAGACCCGGGTTAAAATCTCGGCAGTAATAATGAAAAGTAAGATGACGGTGTCAATCCTGAAACCACATTTCATTTCAGGATTCGGATTTGACGATTTGCTTGTCGGAAAACACCTTTATGTGCATTTAGCTCTCCGAGCGACGAGAACGTCGCTTAATGAGGTCTGGGATACTGTCGGACAAAATACCCTTACAAGGGTATTTTGCCATGTCTTTGCATTCGACATGGTCGCGGCGTCGGCTACCATAACGAAGCCAATCGGGAATAAAGGGGGTGTGCACGCTTGGCGTGACACTGGAAGCAAATTCCTCGGTCACTGAGGCCGGGGCAAAACCGGTGAGAAAATTTCGTTAAGTGTGTGCGCGCGTTATTATGACGCGCGCCGTGGTGATTAGGATTCGTAGTAATACCCCTCGACAAAAGAGGTCGAAGGGTCAGTTGGGTTGATGTTGTGTCAGGTAGATTTACGACACGCACTGAGACTTTGTCTGGTACCTGTCTATTTACCGGTACCAGGGGTTTAAAAATTTTTAACTTTTCGGCCTCCGAGTCGAGTACCCGCCACTTGAGCGTTTACCCCGTCACGACCCTCGATGCCGCAGCCACGGCTAAGTACCGGCCCTTCGGGCCTTCCGATGAAATACGTGCCCTTGCGGGTCACGCACACGCTCAAGGCGGCGGACATTCAGATAGGCACGCAGATTAGCAAGCGTGCACGCTAGCGCTGGCTAGAATGTGCTCAGGTCATTGGTTGGACAAAGCCACATTACTTTATATATACTAGAGTTACTCCCTTTCTACTTGAAGTGGTAGCTAGCTCAGTAGGTTTCAGTACAGGGTTGATATGTGGGGGATCTGGGGATCAAGGTCCGCCACCCTCCGAACTAGCTCCCTTTTGACAGGGAGCTCTACCTTTCGTTTTGCCTAAGTTTGAACGGTCGGGACTCGATCCCACGACCGCTTTATCTAGGTTAGTTGTGTTAATTGCCTCGTTGAAAACGAGAACTACGCTGGGCAGTTGGTAGTAGTACTCGTTTGAATTCGTTCATTTTTTTTATTTTATTTTAATTTGGAAGTTAGATTCGTTTCATTGTTTTATTTTCTTTTGTTGATTATTCTCTTTACCCGTACCTTTTATTCCCCTTATTCACGTAGGTGAATCTGTATCCGGAAGTCGGGCTGATTCAGCCGGAGACGGGAAGAGGCCCGACTATCCTACCGTGCGGCATCAGCCTATAGCACGAAGGGTCCCTCGTCAAGGAAAAGAACAAGCCACCGCGAAATCCCACAGAAGCAAGATCGGGAACGACCGCTTGCTGGGCAGAGCGCAGAGAATCGAAGGGTGGAGTACGCGAAAAGCTAGGAGGAACTACTCGTAAGGAGGAAAAAAGACCGCGTGAGAAGGAAGGGAAACGCGGGAAAGGAGAAGGTGGTCGCACGAAAGAAAGGAGGAGAAGAGGAAGTCGAAGGAGGAAACTTACCTGATCCGAAAGCAACCCAAGGTGGCGACGACGAACTCGGTAAAGACGAACGGCGTGTATGACAGAAGTGAGTGTGAAGACACACGAAAGGGAGAAGGGAGAGAGATAAGAGAGGAAGAGGGAAAAGAGAGGAAGAAGTAGAGAGGGAGTACTCACCTGACCGAGCTCCGGCGACGGCGGCTCCAGCGGCGACAACGACGAAGACAACGGTGGAGCGGGAGAGTGAGAGAGGTAAGTCCACAATCACGCAAAAAAAAAAAAAAAATATATATATATATATATATATATATGTATATATATATATACAGCCTCCTGATGAGTCAGTGAAACTCCGACGAAACAGTTTGTCACAGCCCCTCGTTTTTTGTCCTCTTCTCTCTCTCTGCCTACAGTTTACCGGGCAGTTCTATTTGTGACGATATATACTACGACTTCGCTAGCTTCCTGCTACGGTTTTTTCCGGTCAGGTCGAGCGGCAGTGGTCGGGGCCGTTACTAGGCGGCCATGTTGTGCCTCTAGTGCCAGCGGMGTGTCTGGAGTGTATTTTTTGGCTGTGACAGACCTTTCTTTGTTTCGTGGATGTTTTGCTGGCTTGTGATGGGGTGTGAACCGACAGTCTGTAGAGTTTTCCATCTGGTGTGGGTGAGT